TAATATAATGAATCTATCTCCAAAAAATAACTTTAAATTTCCTACTGATCTTGCTGAGACAACCTCTCCTGTTCCAACCATGAGTGTTATCTCGCCGTCCGCAAGCATTCTCCAGGAGCTAGTTTCCTGGTAAAAAGAACAAATATGATTAGTGGCCCCTGGATCTAGTATCCAAGTTGAGTTATCATACTCTACTAAACATATTTCTACAACGAGTAAATCATATTTACCTTGTTGTGTCTTTTTAACTTTCTTCTCTACAAGGTATTTTGGGCAGTTTCTCTTCCAGTGCTCATTTTCGTTGCAATGGAAACGTTTTCCTTTATCTGCCTTTTGAGCCTTGTATTTGCGGTTAGTAGGAATCTTATTTTTCCCTTTACCCTTCTTCTTCATCAAAACACTTTTAGAAGTTGAAGGTTCAAACTTATTTTTGGAGGATGATACTCATTGTAATTTCTTGAAGATAGCAACATTTGCTTCTCTTGTACGTCCCTTGTTCGTTAAGAGGGACTGATAAGTCTGTAGCTCATTGAGAAGAGCAGTCAAGTTATATTCTATTTTGTTCATCACCACATTTGTGCGGAAAGCTCTTCGAAAGAGACTCCATGATAAAACTGACTTGACTCTTCTCATCAATGACAGCTTCATTTTCTTCTGCCACATTGAAATGGACCATCATGTCCAGGACATGTTCTCTAACTGAGGTCCATTCTTTCATACGACAGTTGTAAATGTATTTTATGGCTTCATGTCGAGTGGAGAAGGACGGTTGTCCAAACATCCCTTTTAGAGATTCCATAATCTCTTTAGCAGTACCCATAACATCGTGTTTCTTAGCGAAAAGATCAGATAAACTGGCTAGAATGTACACTCGGGCTTTGTCATTTGCCTTTATCCATCTGTCATACGCATCCCGAACTGTTCGGTTTGCATTTAAGCTGGGTTTTGGAGGACATTCCTCAGTTAAAACAAACCTTAAATCATCAATTACCAGTATTGTGTTCAGGTTTGATTTCTCAAAAGCGAGTAATTGTACTATTGAGTTTTTCATGCTGAGATATAAAGAAAATTCTATTAGTGATTTGACTTAATGCTGTTTAATCCAATCAGTTTTAGCAAATGTAATAATGTACCAAAAAAAAATTATTAATTTGCAACGATACTTTAGTGAGTTAGAGCAACTGCTACCGAGGGGCAGTCAATCACTCATTCACCAAACGAAGACATTCTTGACTTAAACACTGACTCTTAGTAATTCTTCGCAAGTGTGACCCACCAATTTCAGGCCTCATAGATCGGTCCCAACAATGCTATTGAATGAAAAAGCCAAAGTTGGGAATGGCCCTAAGAAATAGTATCCATTTCTGGAGTTTTCATTGTTTCGACTCCCATGTTACGACCCTCCGAATGGGTAGTTGCTCTAGGGCAACATGCAGGCGGAACATGAGAATCTCACGGTGCAACCTAGTGGTGGAGACCATAGGACGTGTTGATATACTTCCTTCTTCCACTTACTATAAGTACTTTCTCTATTCACCTTGTTATTGACTCATGCAAATACCTTCCGAATGGAGGACGCTCCCAGGGCGACACGAGGCCGAGCATGAATCTCACGGTGTGAATTTTTCAGAGAGCGTGAAAAGGAAAACGATGTATCTCATATACTTTTTTCCTCCCACTAAGTATTTTAAACGGTTGGGTATACTCATTACTTAGGTATATTTCGGCTAATTAAATATAACCTAAGTCTAGGTAATTTTTCCAGAACTTACATCACTCAAGTATGCTCATAAAACTGGGCTAACTAAGCTCAAGTATCGGTCCGATCTCCCACTAAGTAGTAGGTGTTCCGTAAACCGTCAACTTAAGTACCTCCAGCCTTAGTCAAGATCGTGCCAGGTGAGCTTTCTTGTAAGCAAAATTTTACAAGACATCGACCTATTTTAACTATTAAAATTGATTGTGCTTGGTTCTTAACCTTAAGCGAGCATGCACTTATTTTCATTATAGATTTTAACGTCTATCTCGTTTTATGACGTTGAAAATAACCTATAACATGCATCTAACATGCTTTATATAACAATTATATAATCATCATATACTCTTGCCTTTTCTCTCACTTGCCCTAGATTACATAACTCGTAGTCCTAGACTCACTAGGTGCCCTTCAAACACTTTAGCCGTGAGAGGCTTTGTAAATGGATCAGCAATGTTGTGCTCCGAAGCTATCTGTGTGATGATCACATCTCCTCGTTGCACAATCTCCCTTATGAGATGATATTTGCGCTCAATATGTTTTCTTCGGTTATGGGTTCTTGGTTCTTTCAAATTTGCAACTGCTCCACTGTTATCACAATAAAGAGTGATGGGAAGATGCATATTTGGAACGACTTCCAAATAAGTTAAGAACTTTATAAGCCATACAGATTCTTTCGCTGCTTCACAAGCAGCAACATACTCAGCCTCCATGGTAGAATTAGCGATGCAACCTTACTTTATGCTTCTCCATATTATTGCTCCTCCGTTCAGAGTGAGACAAATCCTCATGTCGATTTCCTCGAATCTACATCGGTCTAAAAATCTGAGTCAGTGTACCTTGTAAGGATCAGATTCTTAGCACTGTACATTAGCATATAGTCTCTCGTTCACCTAAGAAACTTGAGGATATTCTTAACGGCATTCCAATGAACGCGTCCCGGATTGGACTGATATCTACTGACAATTCCCACAGCATAGCATATGTTAGGTCGGGTACATAGTATGGCATACATCAGACTACCGACTGCTGATGCATAGAGAATGTGTCTCATATCCTTAATTTCTTGAGGTGTCTTATGACTTTGTTCCTTCGACAAATAAACTCCATGCCGGAAAGGTAAAAATCCTTTCTTGGAGTCCTCCATTTTATATCGAATCAATATTTTGTCGTATACGATGCCTAAGACAATGCTAGTGTTTTGTTCTTGCGATTATGAACAATTTGGATTCCAAGAACAAACTGAGTCTCTCCCAAATCTTTCATTTGGAATTGTGTCGCTCGCCAATGCTTAATGCCAGTCAGAAATCCCACATCATTCCCAATGAGTAGAATATCGTCAACGTATAACACTAAGAAAGCTACTATAGAGTTTACTATCCTTTATAAACACAAGGTTCGTCAACATTCTGTTTCGAGCCATAAGATTTGATCGCGGTATCAAAATTTATATTCCAGGATCGAGATGCTTGCTTTAACCCATAAATGGATCTTTTAAGCTTGCAAACCCTATGCTTGTGATCTTGTTTAATGAACCCATCTGGTTGAGCAATATAGATACTCTCTTCAAGATTGCCCTTTAGAAAGGCTATCTTGACATCCATTTGCCAAATTTCAAAATCATAAAATGTGGCAATAGACAAGAGTATTCTAATCGATTTAAGCATAGCAACAGGAGAGAAGGTTTCTTCATAGTCCACCCCCTCTCTTTGGGTATAACCCTTTTCTACAAGACGAGCTTTAAAGGTTTGTACCTTACCGGTTTGGTCTCGTTTCCTCTTATAGATCCATTTGCAACCAATAGGTTTTACCCCATCTGGTTGATCTACAAGTTCCCAGACTGAATTGAAGTACATTGACTCCATTTCAAGATTCATGGCTTTGATCCACAGATCTCTATCTTCATCATTCATTGCCTGTTTATAGGTCAATGGATCCTCAACGCCATCATCAGGTATAATGAATTGAGTTTCTGTATCCTTGTTGAGGGTTGTCTCCGAGATCGAACGTTCTAATGCTTGAAATAGATAATTCTTTGCTTTGAAATCTTTCAATTTATGATCATCAATGTGCTTCTTCTTGGTATTTGTTAAAACAATGTGTCATATTGGTGCAGGAATCACATTCTCCACCAAACCCAGTACTAAAGAAGTTTTTCATGAGCATTGCCCAATGATCACAGTACCTATCAAATTTCAGTATTTCAGTATTTCGATAAAAGGGAATTTCAGTAATTCAACAAAAACAGGCATTTCTTTGATTTTACCATTTTGATTATTTATTATTATTGTTTTATTTCCCACGAAGCCGAGAAAAAGATGAATGGAGTGCAAATAAGTAAAGTAAGAAAACAAATGGTCGCCTTTTGAGCGTCGGGTGTCCTTTAGTCACTTTGGCCCCGTTGGTCTCCATATTCAGAGCTGGTAAACGGCGGTAGGTTGTGGCAGTGAGTCTTCGTCTCCTGTGTGGGTATCATACTGCAGCGGAGTTAATCGCCGTCGTCGTGGTTCTCTCGATTTGGAGGCTGAAAACACCTTAAACTGGTTTTCCGCATCTCCGCCGAGGGCATTTCTTCCGGGTGACTTGGAACAACAATTGGCTGGTGGCTGATGCTCTCAGTGTTGAAGACTGTTCGGAAATGATCATAGATTTATAACTAAAGAATACATTTTCATTAACATGACTTCTTGTGGGAGATCGAAGCAAACCCATGATATTATGTTCAAAGTTGACAAATATCATATAACATTATAGAGATTCATGATTAGTTACATGGTATCAAACTATGAACTTAACTTAGGTATGTCGAACGAAAAAGTTGTAAGCCTAAAAATCGTAGTTAAAAGTGTCGAACAAATTTCGTATTTTGTTCAAGGTCTCCGAAGAAAGAAGTCGAGTCTCGATTAAAGGGAGTTTCTTTTAGAAATCCATCGACTTAAGGGGAGGCACTATGGTGTATTTTGTTCGAGGGAGGCTCTATGGTGTATTTTGTTCGAGGGGAGTCTCTATGATCATAGGTAATCTATAGGCTTCAAATGTGGCTCTATGTGGTGTACTTAATGAGAGGGGAGACTCTATGATCATGAGTTTATAAGTAAGGAAGTCAAAACACAGCAACAAGAGTTTATGCTCTAGACAATATAATACTATTGTAGACAATATCGTAGTTTTATTTCAATAAATAAATTCATGATTCTCTCACAAACTTTATTAATATTCATAAAAATTTTAAAACCAAATCTCTTCATACCACCCAAGAATCATAAGGCTTTTCCCCAATATAGTTTCCTGGAGGGTCATAATTGCAAACAACATACTGAGAATTAGCCTTGCAAGGCACTCTAGCACATCCAAGCCGCACCGAGCTCTGCCACACCATCTGAGTGTAGTGCCCACATTCACCACCCACGCATTTATTCGATGCATGATCATACAGCGGCTTCTCGTTCGCCCACAGCTTCACTGCATCCGCCCCGGTGAACTCAGGGTAGTAGCCCGCGACTATGTTTTCACCCTTTCTTTTTTCCGCATAGGCTTGAGCGTACGCGGCCACGGTGTTGCTCCATTGCATGGGCCCGACGCCGACCTCGGCTCGAGCTCGGTTGTGAAGCGCGAGGTAGTCACCTGCTCCATTGCATGGGCCCGACGCCGACCTCGGCTCGAGCTCGGTTGTGAAGCGCGAGGTAGTCACCAGGGGCGTTTTGAGCTTTGGTTAGGGCGAGGAGGAAAATGAAAGTGACCATGAAAGCGGCCATGATCCGAAGGGTTTGAGTCCACATAATTCCGATGAGAGATGAGATGAAGATTGAGAATGAGGGAATGATTTATATAGAGATGGAAAACTTAATATGGAATGTGATGGGTAAAACCATGAATTATTAACTAATTATGTCATGCTTGGGAATTCAAAGAGAATAAATTCATTCTCGCTTCCATGTTTAATTACGAGCTAGATTTTTGTTTGGATTAGCTTCAAATAAATGAAAATTTTCTAGATTTAGCTAGTTTATGATTTTTTTTTTAGGATTAATGAAACTTAATCCACCCGATTATGGTTAATCTTAAAAGATACATTTTTACTTGTAGGTATATATTTATTGTTTTATTTAGTTTCATAATTTTATTTATTTATTCTCCTCCAATTTTTTAAAATATGTATTAAAATTGAATTGGTTAATTAAATGTTCAAAAATAAATAAATAATGTTAATATTTTATTAAAATTTTGAGTAAACGAAATGAACTAATTTAACCTAAAATTTTTATAACCTATTTAGATTGGGTTTATTATATAAAAAGAATTTTAGATTAAAAATATTTACTACTAATTGAGTTGTGAATTTTTGTATTTCTTTTTCCTTTTTCTAAAAGTAACCGTAACTTAAAACATATAGTCATGGATGAAATAAAACCTTCTACCTCTCGAGTAATAGTATATTTTAATTACTATTGACTTATGTGCAGCAGAGCTAATTGCCGTCGTGGGTCTCCCGATTTCGATGCCGAAACATCGTGACTGGTTTTTCGCATCTCCGCCGCGGACATTTATTCCCGTTGACTTCAAACAACATTTGACAGCTATTCTGGGAGCTATTCTTCGTGTGTAAAATTGTTAAGAGAATGATCATGAATCTATAAGCAAGGAATAATCTCACAGGACAACAAGCAGAAAGTACTTAATCTCAAACTAGACAGTATCATATCAGTGTAGAGATGGATGGTTCCTAAAACTTGGTAATTCTCCAATTATTTTTGCAGTATTGGTAACAAAGCACTTAATATCATACCATTAGGAAGATATTGTCCACTTTGAGTTCACCTCAATGGACCCATGATCGTTCCCTAAATTCGCCGAGTTGGACTTTCATCCAACACTTCCCCTCGACTTCTTTTCTTTTTCTTTTTTCTTTTGGAGTTCTTTGTTCGACATTTGAGAATTCTATTGACATGGTTAAGTTTAGGGCGTGGCTCTGATACCATGTTAGACTAACACGACTCTCCACAATGGTATGATATTGTCCACTTTGAACATAAGCTCTCATCGCTTTGCTTTGCGCTTCCCAAAAGGCCTCACCCCGATGGAGATAGTATTTTCTGATTATGAACCCACGATCATTCCCTAAATTAGCTGAGGTGGGACATTCATCCAACAAAGATCATACCATTGTGGAGAAGAGTGATTTCTAAATCTCGGTAATTCTCCATTTATTTATGCAATTTTGGATAGAAAAGAGGACAATATCGTTCCATTGTGAAGATATGATTTCTAAAACTCGTTAATTTTCTCCATTTATTTTTGCAATTTTGGGAAGAAAAGTAGACAATATCATAAAATTGTAGAAATTCATGATTGCATTCATTCTCCATTTAGGGGAGAAAAGTATACAATATCATATTATTGTGGAGATTTCCCAATATACAAAGAAGAACCATAAGGCTTTTCCCCAATCTAGTTACTAGGAGGATCATAATTGCAAACAACAAACTGAGAATTAG